TCTAATATGGCAGTGGCTAAATGTGCCACAGCAAGAGAGAGAGAGATCTGCTATCGGACAGGTGGTTAAAAGCTTCTTATTGACATGGAAGCAAAGAGAAGAAATGGACGGAATGTATGAAATCTCAATTGTCTTGTTCGGAAGAGAGACCCCCCTCCCCCCAATCCTCCTGTTAGGCTTCTCTCTGCTTCCTTGAAAAACTTCTGTATGGAATGGAGAGAGAGACTGTTAAAGACTATTATTTACAGATTTCTCTGTCTTGTTGGAGGCCCCAGCAGGCTTTTGTGGGATTTCAAATTATGTTCCTCATTCAGGATTTCTCAAAGTAGAATTTGGAAGCCCTGCTAAAATTGGCATAAGAACAAAGTAGGAGGAGTGTGAAAATCCAAAAGTTTAGACAATTAAGGAGAAGCCTGGAGACCAAATGGAAAAAAACAGATCTCAGGCAATGGTGGGTTGGGATAGTTTAAAGTGGAAGAGGAAACAGGAAAAACTTACTGGACTCTATCTAACTGGACTTCGGATACAAGAGACCTGAATTGCCGTCTTGACTGTTTTACTTTGGGCATAGTCCTTTTCTCTCTCTTGGGCTTTTGGAAAATTAGAAGAAGGATTGGGATTTATTTTCATGTTAAATTTCATGTTAATTCATGTGATTCTAGAAAGATTCCCAAATAGTTTAGTTAAATGCTGGAAGAAGTTGGCAAGAAAAGCTGAAAATGTAATACCTTTGCCCTACCTGGTAGAAGTATGAATCAGCTTTGTTGTAGGACATATAGCAATTCTTGAGTATTACAAGTCATCAGTAGAGAATTTCGTCACCCTTATAAACTACAGTGACCTTGTACATTAGCATAGGTGAGGAACATTAACTAGTTTTAACAGAGCGTAGCAATATTATAAATGGTCACTGCATTTCATTTTGCCTTGCAGTTTTGAAAAAAAAAAAGAGTCTTTATTAAAAACTGTGTCTATTATTTATTTATTTATTTTGAGAGAGAGACAGAGTGCGAGCAGAGTAGGGGCAGAGAGAAAGAATCTCAAGCAGGCTCCGTGCTAACAGCACAGAGCCCAATGCGGGGGCTTAGTCTCACAGACCGAGAGATCATGACCTGAGCTGAAATCCAGAGTCGGATGCTTCACCAACTGAGACACTGAGGGTGCCCCCCAAAACTGTGTCTATTATTTAAAATTAGAAGTTCAGCCTAGGGCACCTAGATGGCTCAGTCAGTGAAGAGTCCCACTTTGGTTTAGGTCATGATCTCGTGGTTCATGAGTTCAAGCTCCACATTGGGCTCTGTGCTGATAGCTCAGAGCCTGGAGCCTGCTTTGGATTCTGTGTCTCCCTCTGTCTGCCCACCACCTCTCCGCCCCCCCCCCTCCCCCGCTCATGCTCTGTCTCTCTGTCTCAAAAAATGAATAAACATTAAAAAAATTTTTTTATTTTTATTTTTATTTTTTTTAATTTTTTTTTCAACGTTTATTTATTTTTGAGACAGAGAGAGACAGAGCATGAACGGGGGAGGGGCAGAGAGAGAGGGAGACACAGAATCGGAAACAGGCTCCAGGCTCTGAGCCATCAGCCCAGAGCCTGACGCGGGGCTCGAACTCACGGACCGCGAGATCGTGACCTGGCTGAAGTCGGACGCTTAACCGACTGCGCCACCCAGGCGCCCCTAAAAAAATTTTTTTAAATAAGTTCAGCCTAGAACCTGACTTAGAAGGACATGAAATTCCAGAACTTAAAAGAAGCCCCCAAAGCCTTTCCCTAAATGTGTTCTATATCTACTATGAAATACTTGAAATGCCAACATTCATTATTAGTCTGTTTTTGACACTTTGGACTACAAATACCAGTGGAGAAGTGACAGACAAAGCTACCAATAGGGACACCTTTCATGATTATCATTTCTCTCCTTCTTGGGCCCCATTTTTTGAAAAAACTGGTCTACCAAGCAGCTTGTATTTATTAAATAATAGCAATCTGCTTGCCCAATTTTTAAAACATCAGTGATATCTACTCACCGTCTGAACATCTTTTATGACAACACAATTACCCAGTTGATGTAATTTCATTTCAAAGCAAAGAAATCTGGTACTTTATTTAACCTGGGCAATCTTTCATGGGTTAACAATATAATCACTGCCATTAGGTTTTTGAGTCATTGAAAATAGTTTACAAACTCCTTTGCTCACCAACTTTACCCCTGTTATCGCTACGATCACCACCTTCTTGAACCTACTGGCCAGGAGTCATAAACTCAAATTCTGACCGGGTCAAGCAGATCTGTTTTACAGGACAGATCCGTAAAACAATAGGGAGTGGTGGAAACTGTGGCAAACGGAGAGCACATCTTTGTCTGAACAAGGGCTAATAGCTACCATTCGGGATAGATCTTCTGATTCTTTGAGAGAAGTCAGAATTCTGAATTTGTATGTATAATTCTTCTAATTAAAAAAAAAAAAAGGTTGTTGGTTTGTTTGTTTTTTTAATCCTGGATGTCTAGGAGTAGAAGAATCCTCTCACCCCAATATATGCTAATCTTTGTTAGTTAAGTTACAAACCAGTGTTGCCTTGGGCTTTCATTGTCCTGTGGAGATTTTTGTGAAACAGCTCTTATAATTTTCACAGCTATCCTTTTCTCCTCCAAAGCTCAGGCACGATCATTAAGAACTAAGTCAGAGGACAGTTACTGATACCATACTGAGGACTTTACCTACATTATTCGATTCAGTAAAAAAACCTTTAGGAAGTACTCATGGCTGTTCCAACTTTGATAATGAGGACACCTGGGCTCAGAATGCTTAACTGACTTATAGAGAGTGACTAAGCTACAATTCATATTGGACTGATCCAAAGCCTGGGGCCTGGAATGGGGGAGAGGATATCACAGAAGGAGCAAAATTTGAATAATAAAGACAAAGTTCACATCCAATCCTACTCCTAGTGACCTATATACAGATCATGTATTTTAGTAAGTAAAGGGAATTTAAAACCATCTTGGTTGGCGAGTATTTTGTAGATGTTACAACACTCCTTGAGATAATTTGAGATGTCCTACAGTGTTGTAGTGTTGGAGCTGAGAACTGCTGCCCTAAATATT